CTCTCTCTCTCTCTCTCTCTCTCTCTCTCTCTCTCTCTCTCTCTCTCTCTCTCTCTCTATTTAGAAGTGGATATAAAATGTCTTACATGAGACTCTATGTACCTCGATTGCCTTATGCTTGTGAGCTAAAGCTGCACTGCCACTATGAAGCAAACAGCATCCTTCCAAAACTCTAAGAGCAATAGCAACTTCAGAATCTGTTGCAGGACTAACTATCTTCATAGGTTCCACTCCAAATATATGACTCAAACTCACAACAGGGTTGTCCTTTGATTGCTGCAACGAATTCTGAAAGAGAACAGGAACCACTGCCACAGAAAAAATAATGTGAATCAGCTAAATCCATTTTTTCTAGATATGTTTTCTGTAAAGAATTAACAATATTTGACATTAAAATTCTGCAGCCAGTAATCTTCTCCAGTAAGGCTAACACATGCCTAGAGATATCATAAGAATGCACATACAGATTCAAAATCAGAACAATAACAACAGAGTAATACTGTAATAGTATATTACTATATTGTTCATATTATTTTTATTATAAACTGCATGGTTGTCAAACAACTGCTGCCACAAGAAGATTTTCTCATTTGATGCTGCGTAGAACAAGATCTTCTCCGGACTCTCATGTTCGTGTACTAAAAAATTCTAGCCCAATCTGCTACCAGCACTTTCTGATTTGGAAGGCCCAAGGTTTATTGAGCACTCACATAGTGAAATCTATCTCCTGCATATAAGTAATTCTTTTTCTCAAGAGAGATATGTTCTTTTAGCTTATTTACTATATGATAGGGATAAACTAGATTCATCCTGATTGGGTATTGGAAAATTCAAATCTATATTTGCTTTTAATATATCAGAAAGACATTAATGGATCTTGTATATCATAACCATGTTTATTTAAAATGGATACATGTATGAATCAAATGGACAAGGGATATACGGATGGAAAAGGATTTAGAGTGCATATAGATGTAAATTGCACAGGTATGGTATGTTAATCAACAAACACAATTCAGGCACGAACTCAAAACTATCAATCATACTTCTTGCACAGGAAGTCTTCAAAAAGAATATCATGACAAAATAACAATGAGAAGAAGAGAATAGACCATATCATGAAACAGCAGGAAACCCATTTTTGGATAACTATATGGCAGCTGATGAGAAAATCTACTACTATATATTTCTATTTTAATCCCACATACCCATCTCACATCCACATTTATCGTCGTTAATCTTTCTCATATGATCTTTCTTAATTTTGTATATTTGTGAGATTGCCCAATTTTAATATGATCCTGCCAACCTAGGTCAGGAACAACCTGTCAAACCTTGAAACTCAACTTTTTAGAGGGTCATGTGAACTTGGTTGAGTTTAACCAATTTCGATCAGGTCCTTTCAATTACAGTTGATATGGCAAATCTCAATGCTTCAGGACATTTGAAATCTCTATTGGGTTTCAGTCATTCTTTGGCCAAAGACTAATTTTATCAGTTCCAAACTAGTATTACCAGTTTGTACTAGATTTCAACTAGTTCCTGCTATCCTTAATCAATTTTTTTAAACCCATTTGATTCATAAGCATTTAAAGAAATGTGAACTGACTATCCAATTTAGCCAATGATCTAGGCCATACCAAATCTAAATTCTGCACATCATCATGAACCTAATATGATCCTTTGAACCCAATCAACTGTCAAATATTACATACCATAATGCATACCCAGCCACACATGGGCCTCTTTTTTAGGTTCAAATGACAAAAGTATGAAGAATTGCATATGAACATGCAAAGTTCTGATGCAAATTTAGTCTTCATGAGGACCTATCACGCAGAAATAAATGGAAACTTCTGTACTTTCCATAGGCATATTTCATTCCTAATCTTTCATTGTCTCCACACTACATCATTAGTAGAATATTCAAATTCTATGATATATCATAAACTTCAATGATATTTCAATAACTTTTGCTTAACATATCCAAATCCTTCAACTATTACTTTCTATGTTCATGCTTGTATTCCAGAAGAAGGTCACACCTGCTTTTATTTATTGAGTGATTTCATGTGTTTAATTAGGAGCTTCGTAGACAATATTAATCTATGCTCAAGATCTAGATCAAAGATCACTTGTAGATTGGCATGGCTTAGAATGTCTTGTTGTGATAGAAAGGTATCAACACGTGTTGAGTAGAGCCTTGGTGGTGTCGACACATAAATGACGACAACAAACACAAAACATAGTAATGTCCTGACTATTTGGGATAGTACCAAAGATTACAATTTCAATCTGTACCAGTGTACCGAAGCCTGCTCGGTACAATACATACCAAGGCGAAACCGACGGTATGCAAGGGCATACCGACGATACGCCTAAAATCATTTAAAAAAACCTTCAAAAATATCTGAAAAATAGAAAAAAAAATAGATTAGGGTTTTTAAGTTAGAAATAAATATAAATTTAGTATAATTTTAGCAAAAATAATATAAATTAGGAAAGAATAGTGTCACATATCTTTTTCAAACTTTAAGGAATAGCTTTGTGGTACATTCCGGATCATCCTTCTATTAATAACCTTAAGTGTCTAATTTTGAAAAAATATCTAATTTGACCTATAAAGATTTGACTTATTAAAGATTTGCCCTATTCAAAAAAATGCATGAAATATAAAGATTTGACCTATTAAGTGTCTAACTTTAAAAAAACCAATATTAAACACACTAATCACAATATTAAAGAACTTAATTACTCCCTAATTAATACTAATTTATCATCAAAAATATATCAAATAACATATTAAACATTAAGTCATACACTATATAGAATAGGCTTAATAATCACATAAATTAATAAAAATCTAGAAAGAGAATACATACATCTTGACTAGAGTGTTCTTCCTTTTAATCCTCCTAAATTAACCTGCTAAATTTGATCCAATCCACAAATAGTAGTTTTGTTAAGTTTAGGAGAGTAAAAATATGAGAACAAGAAAGCGATAGTGAAAATGAGTTTGAGAGAGCTCAAGAGATTGAGAGAGTGAAAGTAAGTTGAAAGAGAGGGGAGAAAAGGGTTTAAAAACTCTTTTCTAAGCCTCAAATGGTCAAATTGACCATTTGAAATAGGGCAATCTCAGCCCTTGATCAGTAACAATCGAAATCCAACCGTTACCGACGGGTACAAGTCGGTAATGATCGGATTTTGATCGTTACCGCCCAATACAGACCCTGTATCACCCGATATGAGGTCAAGTGACCAGAATCGCCTGGTAGAGGGCAGTCCACATGCCAATATCCTATCGAACCGATATACACGCCCGTACCAAAACCTTGGATAGTACATGGATTTTTCCCACAATTAAGCTTTTTTAGGACGATATGACCAGTAAACTAAGGGCAGACAAATATCATTATAATTTTGATAAGGCTTTCTTATGTCTTCTTCTACCTCTCTTCACAAGACTAATCCCAATCAACTCATCTCATGTAACTAAAGAACATATACGTGTACCTTGAACATGTCAATACCATCTTCATGAATGTCAACGTTCCATATTTTATCTATGCCTCGGTATAGTGTCATATGACAATTTACGATGGCAACTATGTTTAATATGATGTGCTTAATCTTGATCACTAACACTACAAAGCCTCAGTCAAAAGTCATATGGTTCAATTCTTGCAATCTAAGGTGAGGCTACGATCCCTTATCCTTCTACCCATTGAAGCTCATGCTGATATATTAACATCCTTCCATTTGTAAATCTTCAAAACCAGTTAAGTTTTATATCTTATTTTGCAAGAACCTTTTTTCTTAAACGATGTCTTTTCTTCTTAGTAACTTGATCATAAATATCATGATGCCTGATTTCTACTATTTAATGACAGGTTCCTGATCATAGTCTTCTCAATGACAGTCATCTCCTCCTACCTTCTTTGAAATAGAATAGACTCTAATATCTTTCCTGATCATTTCTGCTATTTGATGCCAGGTTCCTGATCATAGTCTTCTCAATGACAGCCATTTCCTCCTACATTCTTTGAAATAGAGTAGGCTCTAATATCTTTCTTTACAACATTTCAACAATTTTCCATCATTCATTCACAATTTTCTATCACTCTAGCAGCTCCTAAATTTTTCTTGATATATCTCTGATTTGACCACAAGTGTCTAAACGCATTCACAAAGCTAAAATAATCTGTTTGTTTAAATTTTGGACCTCCTTGTATTTCATGGGTCTAATTCTATTTGAAATTTGTTATCAATGGTATTGAAAACTGACATAAACAACTCTTAATTTATTTCCTTATGTGGTTATTATGATGAACAGTTATTACACAGTAGAACAGAAGGATAAAAGCCTCTCATGCCTTACACTGGATTTATGGGTTGTACTTTTCTGGATGGCCCATTAGGATCAAACATACAGGATAATTGACCTGTTGCAATTGGTCTATAAGGATTTCACATCCCAATTCCATGACCATATATACCTGTTTCATGAAATGCACCAAAGCCAAAGTAACCCATTGGAGAAGATAAATAAGCTCCAAAAGATCCAGATACAATTTGCTCCATTTATAGCAGAGAAATTCAAGATCTATATACAACTGATGCCGCAGGCCGTCCCACATTTTATACATTAATCCTTTTGCACAACAGGATAGAAACCAATCATTATGCTTTACTTTTAACATGGTAGCACTAGCGTCGCCATTTCATCTGGTCATTCCTCAAATAGATCTCATTCGGAATGCACTTAATGCCTACACAATGTAACCCTACGAATATCATCACCTTCATCTATGACTAGTGTAGAAGCAATTGTCTCCAGTGTAAATTCATAATTACTTGTCGCTTCTTGTCAAGTTTCGAGTAAGACATTATACCTTCGATCGGTAGACTTTTTCCTCTTCCTTCGTATGCTTAATAAAACTTTGATTTCCATAATAAGTCCAGAAATCAAATAACATAACATCGTCGATTATAGCTCATAAGGTGTATGCATCAGGATCAGAACCCTAGATAGCTGCGATTCACAAAGAGAGACATCAAAAGGGCGGACCTCGGAGTTCGGGAATGGTTTGCGAGTGACGGAAAAGGCGGATGGACTCGTCGGAGCCGGCGATGGATCTGAAGAACTTGAGGAGGTTCCGAAGGCCTCTGGTCCGGAGGAAGGAGAAGTCGGCCATGGCGTCGCGGAGGCCGGAGCGGAGGGCCAGCGTCACGTCCCGGTAAAGCCTCCGACGGTTCATGGCGGAGACCAGCTCCTCCACCGCCGCCTCGTCCGCCGGCGCGATCGGCGGATGCGGAGGCGGGGGGCCGGACCCCGACTCCGCCTCCTCCCGGTGGGCGCTGCTGCCCTCCGCCTCCTTCATCCGACTCATAGTTGCGGTTCTGTTCCGCCAATTCCCAGAATCCCATTTCGGCTCCTCTTAAGAGTTCGACCTTCCTTCCGATTCGACCCGGCCGGTTCCGTGAACCGGCCGATTCAAGTGAACCGATCCACCGGAACCTCTTACATGAATCTTTTATCGCAATAAAGTTAAGGAAAATTAATTTTTTATTTATATTTTTTATTAAAATCTTTTTATTTTTAAATTAATTATATATTATTCTTTTAATTGATTATTTTTAATATTTTAACGTCTATACTTTTGAAAATTATATTATGACTTATAGAAGTAAAATATTTAATTTTATTTCTTCTTACTTTATTAACGAAAATATCGTATGATTTATCACTAAGTTAAAAGAGAAATAAAATTAAATATTTTACTTTTATAAATATAAATATTTTAATATAATTTTAAAAAATATAAAGATCAAAATACTAAAAATAATTAATTATATAAGATGATATATAATTATTTTTTTATTTATAGATCAATTCAAGTTTATAATGGATTTAAATAGGAATAAACATCTCATTTAACCACATAATTGATGAGATAAAAGAAAAGCCAGTCAATGAGCACAGCAGTGTGATGAGCTGCAAAGCAGCAGTCATCACCGTCCTCTTTCTTCCTCCTCAATGGATGGTACATTCCCCGAACCACCAGAAACGTTGCCGACTAATCTCTCATTGGAGCTCCTGCAACCCATGGTTGCAGCCAAGTCGTCCACCGCCACCTTCATCACATCCTTCCTCACTCCTATATCAGTGATGTATCGGCCTGCACAATACGCCCCGGCAGTGACGGCTGCCATGCCCACAGGCCCCGCCGCCAGCAGCTTGAACGGCGTCGAGAACAGAGCAGCCAGAGGAACACCAAGGAACGACGCCGCCTGCCCGCTCCTCCCCACCCCCGGCTCCTCCAGCAACAGCAGACCGGTCTTGCAGTAGAGAGCGAAGTCCTCGCAGTTGTTCTCGAACACATCATAGCTACCGAACCCGTCATGGAGCAGATGCATCGCTCGGTCGATCACCGAGTCGGGAGGGTCAGACTCGGCGGTGGTGCACGTGCCGCCGCGGAGTTTGGCGAGGAAGACCGAGGGGGGGACTCCGTACTCGAAGCGGTAGAGGGCGCCGTTGCCGAGGAAGCAATCCAAGAAGCAGAGGATGACTCCACTGTCGGGTTGGCGGAATCCGCAGTCAGGGAAGGTTGGGCAGATTGCAGAAGCTGCCGAGATCGAACCGAAAGAAGCATCCTTCTTGCGGGTGAAGTGAACCACTTTGCTTCCTCCGACATAAATGCCTGCATGATTGAGTTGCTTGTGATGATTAGAAGAGAGGATTTGGTAGTTAAGTAGTCCTTTGACAAGAATTAAATGGGGTTCTGATGTGATATCACACCAAACACTGTAGTGCAGTCCAACTAACCTCCACCTTTAGGTTACAAATAATAAATTGAAAACAAATTATAAAAATCATTTTTCCACCATTATGTAAAAAACAAGAAAATACAACAAATTAAAAATCATTTTAGCAAAAAAAAGAAAAACTAAAATAGGAATAAGAAAATAAAAAAATGAAATGTCACATATAAATTAAAGATAAAAATAAAATCAAACAAATTTGAAAATTTGTTTTTGCACCATTAGCTTAAAAATAAGGAAGTAAAAGTAAATTAAAATTAATGATGCAAAATAATTATAACAAATTAGATATAAGAAAATAAAAATAAGATTTTAAAAACTATTTTCCACGTTTAGATTAAAATTAAGAAATACAAAGTTAGTTGGCGTCGCCCGGACTCGAACCGGAGACCTTCAGTGTGTTAGACTGACGTGATAACCAACTACACCACGACACCTTGTTGTATGTGTTCTCCAGGGTTTATAAATATACTAATAATATTTCTTACTGGAATCTTTATTTCAGATCTTATCGGATTATATATATATATATATATGGGTGTGTGTGAGAGATGAGAGAGATAAAAGTTTTAAAATCTATATGAATTATTCAAACATATTGTTTGAAAGATATCGTTAATGTCTCAATCAGTTCAATATGATTTTAACCCGTGTACGTAGGAATATCTAAGGTATGATCGAGATCTTTTGAAATATAAATGTCAAACTCTTTCGATACTACATGCGCACGAAGATTAAGATCATATGAGTTTTTTTTTATCTAGTCTCTCTAACATCTAAGTTAATAACCCAAGAAGGTGAATGTTATCACAAATGGTAAAACTGATCCTCCCTTCGAAACTGTGTTAAAAGTGAGTTTTTATACATAATTATATAATGATAAAATATTACGTCGAGAGATAACCGTTAATCGCCTCTAACAAATTGTCTGTGTCCTTTTGTTACCAATGCGGCAGGTCTTATCTCCCCTATGATAACTTAATCATCACATGAAGGTCACGTGTTTAATGATAATTGATAGATAATAATCCTCTGTCACCCATCAACCATCATTTCTAGACCTAATGATATAGGATAATGTCAACGAAAATTAAAATTTTAGAAATAATTTAGTCACTTTATATAATAATTTTATTTTATTTATAAAAGATAAGTAATGGAAAGGAGTTTTGATCTCCGAATTTACTATCAACAATCAAGTCTTTTACTATATAAACTATTTAATATATTAAAAAAATATGAGATAAGATTTTAAATCCTCATATTTTCATAAGTGGATTTAGATAATCAAACAAATTTGTTAATAAATGTGGTCCAAATAATTTTTGAACATAAAGATGTTTTGCTTTGACATCACCTTAATCAAGAATATTCTTTATTAGTATAATATTTTTCCTATGATATAATCTTAAATTTTTTAAATTAATATCATTGCATCTATAAGTTAAAACTAGTAGATGAGATATATTATAATTTATATTCTTAAAAGTATGACTTATGAAAAATTGAGTTCTACTAAGACATAAAGCTAACTTTAGTCGATTGTGAATATTAAAATTATTAGAAATATTTATATACATGAGATAAAAAATATATTCTAAGTTGATAGTCTCATATCAAAAGAGTCATATTACATATATTACATTAGCTTATAATATTTTGTGTTGAATTGATGATAGTCTAACCTCATATATATTTACAATGGTTAGAATAACTCGAACTAGAAATTACAAAATTTATGACAACAGTGAGATTATATTTCTAATTGGATTGATTTTTTTTTTTCTAATTACAAGATTTCTGTGAATCAAATATCAAAATATCAAAGGTGAGACCAAAGTGAAGACATCCTATGGTCATAGCCCTCACCAGATTCATCCTCTCCACTAAAGTAAATGCTATTAAGGTGTAGTGAGCTATTACAAAGATTTGGATTTGAGAGTCACATACAAGGAATGGTTTGAAGCTTATCAGAAGTTTCCATGGCCACTGATAATGCTTCAATTTGGCATTAAATTGTGAAGGATGGTGACTTTGAAGCTGATATACAAGGAATCAGTTCTAATGTGCCATCACATTTATGTGTTACTTACATAAGCGAATGAAATCAGTTCCCCAAAAAATTAGAGTTTGACAAATAAAAAGACTTCAATGGTCAAATTTATTTTCCATAAACTTCAGTTTTTTTTGTGACAAAATTGGTCAATCAATATGTTACTATAAAGGATTGGTTAGTCTGACTAATAATAGTTAAGAATAAGTCAAGGAGGAGAGGAGGAGAGTGACTCTAAATCATTTTAATATTTTTTTTGCTATTTTTGCCGTGTGCAAATCTTGTCAAGATTGAGAAGTTGGATTCAAAAGATGGGATGTTCCTTCTTAAGATATGAAAATATATGCTTTAATTATGATGAATATTTGCAAATAGTTATTTAGGATGCATTTGGTTCAAGAATATTGATCTATATAAAATAATGTATTATATTTAAGAAAAAATCTAAAAATTATCCCTATAGTTAGATGACCTAAGTGAAGAGAATAATCAGTTTGTCAATCATAATAATTCTTCATTTATCCTAATGATATTAGTTTTACTAATAAAAATATTAAAACAAATAAATTTAACATTCCGATGGTGATGAACGATAGCATTGCTGGCGCTGATGTGACGTAATTGTTGAGTGACCCTTTCATCGCTCTGTATTTGTGTCGGTGCTTCCTCGCCACGTAATTGAAGTCTACTATCGAAGCCATCATGGAGATTCGTCGTCTATCAAAGCAAGACTCGAAGATGCGCCACCCCCCCCCACATCGATGTCGACATTGTGCCTCTCCTTGTCGCCCGCCTTGTCAACCACCACCACTTATCCATGGCCCAAGAGAATGCCGCCACTACTCTCCTCAACCTCTCCATCTCTGCCCGTGCGGTGCTCATGTGCACCTTGAGCATCCTTGATACCCTCATTATCGCTCTTCACCTCCTCTCCCTTGTTGCTTCTCAACACGTCGCCACATTCTACAGCAATGTCTTTTCCTTGCTCTTCTCAATCGCGCTCACCCCGCTGTCACCACTGGCCAGAGGAAAGTTTGCCACCTTCGCTCCCTCTACATCCATGACGTCCCCCACCACTCTTTGTTAGGTTCAGCAATGTAGTCGTAGCATTTTCTCTTACCCTCCTACTCCCCTCAACCACCATATCTATTAGGACATTGATGTCATCCACTGTGGGGGCTCTGGCCAACGACAATAGTAGGGTGAGCGTGAGGGGGAAGAGTAAAACGGAGGTGTTACTATAAAGGGTTGCAGTAATGTACTAGGCAACGACAAGAAAGAGGAGGCAGAGGGCGATAGTGAGAGCATTGAGGATGTTCAAGGTGCACATGAATGCCTTGCAGGTGGAGATGAGGAGGTTGAGGAGGGCATCAGCGACATTCTCTTAGGTCGCGAATGAATGGTGGTGTGGTGGTTGAGGAGGCGAGAGACATGGAGGGACATGCCATTAGCACTGGTGAGGGAGGCACACATCTCTAAGTCTTGCTTCAATAGATCATGAATCTCCATGATGGCTTCGACAGTGGACTTTGATTCTGTAGTGATGGAGCGCTGACGTAGATGCAGAACGATGAAATGATTGCTTTACACTTTCATTAACGTCGGTGTGAGCGACACCACCATCCGCCACCACCAAAATATTAAATTTATCTTTTTATCTTTTATTTTTATATTTTTATTAATAAAACTATAAATTAACTTAAATATTTTACTTTGTAATTATAGAAATACCAATGTAACTTCTTAAAGTATAGGGACTAGGATTCTGAAGATGACTAACTATAAGGGTGTAATACGTAATTAGCCATCCATCACTTATTCTTTATATTTATATATTTTTTAACTCTTCCAATAAAAAATAAATAAAAGAATAACATTTAAAATTATTATTAATATTTTCATTAGTTGATATGATTTCCTTCTCCTTGTGGTCACTTGTCCACGTCTCTCATCCTCGTCCATATATTTACTCCCCAACCCCAGCCATCACCACCAACCTCGAACGGGAGATGGAGAACCAAAGCCAAATCTAATTCCACTCCCAAATCCCCCAATTCCAATGGAGACGCTCTCCACTCCCGTCTCCTCCATCAAAGCCATCCCTTTGTTCCCCACCGCCGCCACCCCCAATCACCTACTCAGGCCCTCAACCAACCCCTCCTCCCTCCCGATCCCTGCCTTCACCAACCTATCCGCCAGAGCCCGACCTCAATCCCACCACCACCACGCCAAATCCGTCCTCCGCCTCTCCCCCTCACCGCCCCGGCACCGCCCTACCCCGCTCGGCACCCCGCGCCGCGTCCACCGTGCGGCCTCCACCGGCTACGCCGCGGCCCTCCTCGACGTCGCCCGGTGCGAGGGCGCGCTCGCGGCCGCGGAGCGGGACCTCCGGCGGCTCGTGCGGGGGGTCCGGCCGGTGCTGGCGGACCCAGGGCTGGACGAGGCGGCCAAGGGGGAGGTGGTGAGGGGGGTGGCGGAGGGCGGCGGGTTTTACCGTCACGTGGTGGCGCTGGTGCGGATGCTGGTGGGGAAGGGGAGGGCGGCGCTGGTGGAGGAGGTGATGGAGCAGTTCGTGCGGCTGTGCGACGAGCTGAGCGGGACGCGCGTGGTGGTGGTGATGTCGGAGGAGGGGAAGAAGATGGAGGAGCAGCGGCTGAGGGGGATCGCCCAAGAGGTCCACAAGGCGACCGGCGCGCCCAAGGTGAGGGTGAGACACCTGCACAGGTTTGCTGATTGACCTATATACTTTATATGTTGAAAGGAATGGGAGGAGGCAGATCTCTCCGTACCTTTTTATTTTTATTTTTTGTTACAATAAATACCAAATGGCACTCTTTCTATCTCTCTTCTTCTGTGCAGTGGCAATTCTTTTTTGCATGAACATTATGCAATTTATTTATAGAAAATATAAATTGACGGCACAACAACAAGCAGACTTACTTCATTGATCATTTGAAAAAAGTAATTTATTCTTAATAAATTAAAATCATTAAATAAATATTTGTTTATAATTTTTAGTAAGATCTTCTGACATCTCCATTACTAACTGCTCTCTTACCATATATTCAAAGCATCTCCTGAGCATATGTATTCATAGTATCTTATGCTATGATATGCTTTATTGACTAACTACGCATATCTATATTCATAGTGTATCTACCATCCCTCCTTCCTTATTTTATGCATTAAGATGATTGCTGAAAAGAAGATACTACTCCTTGCCAGAATGGTTTTGTGCACTCCACAACATGCATCATTTTCCACGTTTTAATGTACCGAGAGATGACATGAAAAAAACATGATAAACAAGTTTCACAAGAAACACGAGACGGTAGTGATCTGTCAAAAACAAACAACAGCAGGTTGCTTGCTGTAACAAAAAGAGATAGAGAAGCGTTTTATAAATAGAAATCACGAGATCCGAAGGCTTATAATATTAATTATTCTCTGAATACATGAAGAGACTCAGACGTGGATATAATCTCCAAGAACAAGAAAGCAAAACAAAGATAAAAAAGAAGGGAGCAGCAGAAAGGGATTGTAGAACAGAAAACCAATTGGGCTACTGACTGATCACCACTACGTTGAGATACTAGTATAACTTAGGATTGCACTTGTGCAGGACCACCTTTTAGATGAGAATAGAGAGGGAACCTCATATGGAGTCATTGCACTTGTGATGTTCTATGCCTCATGACTGCATGTCCCCAATTTTATCCATCTAAACATGGCAGCAAACTTATTTTTGTATTAGTAACGACAGGAACCAAGAAATGATTTCAGTAGCAATATGGTGAAAGGCCACTTTTTATTATGTTACTCCCATCTTTTCTTGTTCACCCAATGTTCAGTGGCTCTGCTTCCGTATCTCTCTCCTTCATATCAGTCCAATCTTGAGATTCTGCTTAAAATAACAACAATGAGAATATATCATAATATGAGAAAAGAAGAGAACTCATATGCTGACATTTGAATACAACTTGATGGATTTCTGTATCTGCATATGTTGCACTGATCCAAAAAAAAAAACACATGGAACAATCCTAAATCAAAATGTGTTGAGAAAATTTGAGTTTGACAGTGATTCCACAACAAACCACTAGCTAGGGAGCATGCTCAAACTTAATCGAGAAGACTATTTCAAGCTACTTCAAAAAACAATAACCCTCACCCCATCAACTTGGCTTATTAAGTTGATGATCCAAAAATGATGAACTTAATCTTGGAGACTATTATTTCCAAGCTACTTTTAAAACAGCAACCCTCACCCCATCAATTTGTCCTATTAACTTAATGATCCGAAAATGATAAACTTAATTGAGAAGACTAGTTCCAAGCTACTTTTAAAACAGCAACCCTCACCCCATCAACTTGGCCTATTAACTTAATGATCTGAAAATGACAACAGGTTTGAGAATCACCAAATTAATAAATGGGAAATCCCTGGCTTGTGGCTTGGAGAGGATATCGACAGGCCTTGAAATACCATAGGGTGCACAGACATTTTTGTCACCCAACATATGATCATAAGCAGAAGAGTTCGATCAAATAAGTGAAAAATGCTTAAGGCACAAACCATAAACAACATAATTGGTCGAATCTATCAAATGCTATTCCTCACTGCTGGAGGTGGGTTTGATGAAAGTTGGTCGTATCAAAGGTGATGAACACAAAACAAGTGAATTGGTTTCTTGCCTTGGTGTTGAGATGTAAAACATGCAGATGACGTGTTTGGCAGTTTGCATGTATCATCCACCAGCACTATGTTTTGACATTCATTTTGTCCACAAAAAATTAGGAAAAAAATTCTGAAATCCTACCTTTATGTCTCTTTTTGTAGTTGGATTATGCTACACACTGCCCAATACTAATTACTAACACATAAACAGTAAAAGAAAGCTGATATTTGCAAAATTTATAGATTGTATTATATTCTCTTTTTTAACTATCAGCTAAAGAAAATTGTTATGCCTAAAAAACATGCAGTATGTTTAAAAATTTTAAGATAATGTACATTCTTTCAGTATTTTGTAGTACCAAGTAAGATTAATCTGTATTCAAGTTTTGACAGAAATATTTAGAACATTAAAGACTAAAAGAGAAAATCTCATCCACTCAGAAGGGAGAGATCAGAGATTCTGTATTACTTGATCTGTGGATCTCAGAAACCATCATCAGCCTCCTTTGAAGAAGTGAAGCGAGGAACAGGAAGCAAGAGCACATGCCAAACATGACAGTCATAGGGAATGCGCTCACCTGCAAATTGACAATTCACCGATCATTTTATAACTAAAATAATGTTGTGCTTCCTCAATCTTTTATTTGTTTAACAATAAAGAAACCTTTATCAATAGTTCAACTAAATGCATCCTAAATATCAACCAACAGAGTCTTCAGAATTCAACATGGCAAATGACAAAAAACATAAATGTTTTTACTGTCAAAAAAGGAACCCTATTAACTATTAAACTGTAACAAATGTACAAAGCCAGTCAAAAAGTGCTGGGGTTTTTCTTTTAGTGCTGGTTGAATTCAGGTCCCTAAGTAGAACCTGATTCAGATTGACTTCCAACAAAAGTCAACCTATGGGCAAGGTTGTTTCTATCCCTATGTATGTGAGAACCTACAGCTTTGGAGGAACTTGCTGTAGACAACAAGAAACATTGATGTTACCAGCTTATGGAGCATCCAATGGAACTGCTACAGAATACATAAACCCTGAATTTTCACTTGTAGAGCATTGCCAAATTTTGCATGGAAGACCACTTCTCTAATAATGAGATAACAGAACGATGTGATTGGATGCTTACATTGTAAAGCACGACGCACACAAATATGTTAAGGGGAATGCGGAAGAAGTTCATGATCGTGCTCCTAGCTTCTTCAGGAATGTATTGGGACCTCATCTTCATAATGGATGGCCAAAATATTCCAACACATGCTTCAAATGTACAGAAGCCAACAAGCTGAATACAACCCCCGAAAGAAATGCTCCCACCTCTGACTGTGGATGGTGCTACTAAGAACTGCAACATATCATATATAAAATCAGAACAATTGAATGAAAGGAACACAAATGCATGAAAGAAACACAGATGGAGCCAGTAAGCAGGGCATACACTGGTAATAACAGGTAGGAGGAGAGTGACTGCAGCGACTGCGAATACAAGCTGCATGTAAGATTCAACTCTAGGAGTTGGACGGGCCAATAGTCGAGATGCAAATGAGCTACCCAACATTGAGGACAGCATAAATGTAGCAAAAATGAAACCATGAGGAATGTCTTCATCATTTGGGCTTAGAGCAGGGGTCCAAAGGAATACAAATGTATACATGGAACCTTCAAACAGTGACTGTATCGCACCCAGCAACGCAATTTTCTCATCTGAGATAACACATTATTTTATCATACTACTGATTGCCATAATGAGATTTCCTTTAAATACAATCGAAACATAGTAATACCAACCAGAAGAAATAGCCGCTGCAGCAACCTGAAACTGGGTAAGTAAACCCTTGCTGTCAGACGGATCCCCATAGTTCTCAGTCCATGTTGATAATATAATTGCCATGCCAATTGCAAGGAAGCATGCAGCAGCATCAAAGGGGGCAACAGGTCCAAATCCCAAGTTATCCGTCAGTAGGTTAGCAAATAACCCAGCGATGATGGCAACTAGGCCATTGCCAAGAAAGATAGCCTTGGAGAAAGTTATGGACAGCCATTGTGGTTCAAAACCCCTCTGTATTATAGCACCGAAAGACACATGAGAAATGGAACATGTTATAACAAGGATATAAGATCCTAACATAACAGATGTCTAGATTATATGGATAGTATCTGAGTTCTGCTCAGCATTTGTTCCATTAGTGTTTCTCATCTCCAAGCATCAACAGGACATGATCTTGGATGGTTACAGGAGACGCTTAGACTTCTGATTCAGGTTCACATGTTTTGTGTACAAATAAAATAGAAACCAAAGATCTTGAATATACAAGTACAAAATTTCATTCCAATAAGAAAAAGGAAAATATGCCTAATTTCCATATAAAGTTAAATGTCATGCCTGAAACCAAGAATTTATGTGACACTACAAGTAATAATAAATGTTTTGTAAAAATTGAGTATTTTTTGAACATTTCAATGCAAGTTTTTCAAACTTCATCTTTCAAGAAATTGTGTAAGTTAACTGACTCAATTATTTACTGTTTAACTCACCCCCCACAGGGTTCTTATTATCTATTGCAATCCTGTATAGTATTGTTTCTCATGTTTTCTTCTTCCCGACTTTTGTCATTTACCTTCCTCTCTCTTTATAATCTATAACGAGTTACAGTGTAAAATTGAAGCCACAAGGCCAGTTTGAGTAATTCTGTTGATGAGGAATTAACAAGAAAAGTAAAGATGAAATGTATGATAAATAATACTCTAAAGCTGCAAAGTTAAACAGATGCATGGAAAATGTTCAGCAATTTGACCAGAAGCAGAGTCTGACAATAACAATGTCAATGGGAGTGTCTGCGACAGAAGATACAGTATACAACGAAATGAGAGAATCTGACTGAGTTCTACTCGAAAAGACAAAAGTGGCACAGATCATCGAACTTTCTCTGAACAAAACCAAGCATATTTCTTGAATCTAAAAAGTGAGATCCAGATTCACCTTGTTGTGTTCTGCGACGAGCCATGACTCGAATGCCGAGAACAAGAGCGACGTCGCGATCCCTCCTAATACGCGCCCCAACATCAAGACCTTAAACTGCGGAGAATGCTTGGTCATGCAACTGAGGATGTAGGTGATGCAGTAGGTGACAGAAGCTCTCTTCCGACCCCTGTCATTTCGAGAAAAGAAGCTCAACGATCACTAGATCGAGGACGAGCCCCAAGCGCTCCAGATCGATTTCTGGTCGAGGGAGTGCTTACTGTTTGTCCGCCAGAGATCCGACGATGGTTCCGAACAGCATGGAAGATCCGAAGCCCGCGATGAAGAGCCGACCGATGTCTCCCTTCCCGTATCCGTACTGGCTGTAGAGGTAGTACACATATGGACCCTGCAACCAATCTCCAGCTGCATCCACGAGGAGAAGGGGAAACGTGAAGAATCATGCGATCTGATCGAACGATCTAATGATAAGACGCTCGGAACAGATCAGATCTGGCCGATGCGAGGGAGGGCGGTGAGACGCCAGATCCAGAGGGAGGGGGAGGGGAACGCACCCATCATGAGGGAGTAGACGAGGATGTAGTTGTTCTTGAAGGAATTGAAGGCGGAGGAGGTGGAGGCACGATCCCGGTTGGTCTTGCTCAGCTCCATGGCCGCCACCACCACGGCAAGCCAGCAGAAGAGCAGCCAGTAGAAGGCCTCCATTGTGCGGTGCCCTTCGAGTCGCAGGGGAAAGGAGGAATGGCGGAGGAGAAGAAGAGGGAGGGCGAGCGGAAGTGTTGAGCGATCGACCGCTTCGTTGGGGGATGTGGGGGGGATAAATATAGACGTCACCACTCGGTTGCTTCAGGCGCCGAGAACGTGTGCTTAATTAAATCAGACATTAATCAAATATAAAAATAAAAAATAAAAGCTGTGTGTCACTTAAGTCTTAATATAGGGTTTCTCTTTTTCTTTTCAAAGACACCCCTGTGGAAATTGTTATTAACAAAATAAGCCTTAAATTGGATGATTAGGGGATTGTTGATGAGAGATTATCACCAAAAAAAAATGTAATGACTTCGAAATTAGTGTAATGCTGATGATAATTTATAAAAATGGTAAGAAATGGATGTAATGAGATATGACAATAAAAGATTCATATACCTGACATCGTAATGAAGTATCCTAGAATAATAAATAGATCTGAACTTTGGGTGATTGTTAGACGACGAATTTATGTTTGAACGGAACACATCATCATTAAAAGTCCAGGGATCGGGGTGTTGCTCTTAGGACTCCGCCGGCACCTTATGAAAAATCAAAGTCTTTGGATTTTCCCAATTGAATTGTAATTTATTCCTCTGCAAAAATATTGGATATAGTATTCTTATATCATTAATTCCTTGGTAGTATGCATGTTGGCTGGGGATATGAGATTTATGTACAACCATCTTACTGGTTCATAAAGATTGAAGCAACCTAAAACCAAGTATTTCATTTGCCAAATTAGCAATTGTTTGGGTGAAAATCCTTGAAACAAATATCCTAATCTGTTTAGATTATACTATACTAAGTTCATAAATTTTGTATAGCAAAACATAAGTATGATAAAGAGATGTCCTTAATAACTTAAATCAATAAAATCAAATACATATTTCTTTTGTACTTCAACAAATTAGTTGATAATAGAGTTAACAATACACCATTTTTTACATTGACATTATGCACTGTTGGGAAAAACAATGAGAGAAAAAAAGGTTGTTTTGTTAACACACACATACACAAATAGCAAACCCAGCTTAATCACACAAAAACATAGGGAATGACACACTGTGAAGGATTTGTTTAAGATGTGAAAAGAATGATGGCAGCAAGGAAAGGACATTGATGTGCACCAAGTTGGTGATTCCACTGGTGCCATTTCATGAGTGCTACTGCTATAAGAAATTTGGTAGGTTTCCTACTCCTGTCATGGCCTTCAATTTGCTGAGAGTGGAGGTAGGCAAAACTCCATGGATGCCATACTTGGCTTTGACTTTTATTGACCAATACTTCAGTCAAATGGGAACAAGAAATGGGGATGCATTGACTTCATTGCTTACACCAGACAATGAAACAGCTAATCAATTGACTTGTTGGTCAACAATCATTGACAGTGTTCTCTCAGATCACATGTGCCTGAAAGCTTACTGCAAACACTGGAAGATTCCTGTGGAAAGAGTTAGTGTACAGAGCATTTTATTTTGTTGTGTCATTTTAGAACATGTGAACAGAGCTTCAGATGTGTTTAGCAGAAGCCATGCACAGCTTTGGGCATGTAATTGGGGTTAGGTGAGGGATTGAGTGGAAGCTCAGCAAATTCCCACTTTAGGTTGGACATTGGCCTAACCCATGATTTGTTGCTGCAGGGATTGAGTTGGACTTGAATGATGGATCTCTCTACATAAAGAGCAAGATTTAGGCTAACATTGGCCACCACTTAAATGCCTAAATTCTTCTTGTGTTGAACATAAATTAGAAATAGATCTGCTAGAACCTACTGTCACAGAAGTCAAACAATGAAGATAAAGCAGCTATTAGATGCCATGCTTTCAACATACTTATTTGCCCATGCCACCAAGAAGTCATAATAATGTCACAACTAGTTGAGAGCAATGACAACCTATCATCCTACTACTAATAATAATTATAGCATCTAAAAATATCATCACGATGCCCTATATACAAATTACCTTATACTTTTGATCATGAAACTTTGGTATGTCAAAATGATGCTCCAAATAGCTCTAAATGATTCATAAACAACAAGTTGCTTGCAAAACAAAAGAAGTAAGCCAATGGTTGCAAAGATTATTATGTTGCAGAGTGCAAGGATTAGACATTCAGTTCTATGCATTTTGTGAAACATACAAGAAACCAAAACTCTTTTTTTGGTACTAGATTTCTTTGGTCAATTCAGAAGGCATAAAAACTAGATAAACACTATTGAATGACCAGATGCATTCTCAATTTTACTCAATATTGTATAAGCCAAAACATGCATTTCAATACATCCAACCTAGTCAACAATTCCATTGGATTTTTCCTAAATTCCACTCAATTTTAATCAATATTACTCAAAATATAGTCTGAATAAGCCCAAACATGCATTTCATATACATCCACAAAAATCCCACCGAATTACTCATAAATCCTACCTGATTCCCTGATGCTGTCACTCTGATGAAAGCCCAAGTAACTCTGGAACAACTTTTAACTCCTCCCCAACTTTTAGTGAATATTACTCGAAACATAGTTTTTATAAGCCAAAACATGCATTTGGTATAGAAGTGACAGTGCTGGAAGATGAAAAAAAAGCCGAGATTAACTGTGTTTGGAGTGCAGTAGAAAATATAGGAGCATGCACAATAGAAAGAGCTGCATGAGTCAAAGGAAGATATTATGACCCACTCTGTGATGTAAATTATAGGAAGAAACTATGTTCCTTAAATGGTTGCTATATGAAGGTGTTCAACATCTGATCATGCTGCCAGATGGGTCAAGGAACTTGGAGCAACCACAAACAAACCCACAGCCACTGACTCCTCATCTCAGACACATCTGCCATTGTTGTTGCGAATGTGGAGAGTGTTTTCTTAAGGCTCACAGAGGATATCTATCTCAATGTAGGCCTTGGAGAGTGAAGCAGAAACTAAAAAACTCAGCATGCTTGATTCTTAACTGCTGTTTGCGCTTTGCACTTTGCAAAGCAATGATAAAGCCCATGGAGGTTTGAGAAGAAAGCAATGATTGTGTGATTTCTGACTTAAGTAATTATCAAGAGGAAAGCTCCCTGCATATTGATGATTTAATCCTACAATTTGAAGCTCTGGTTGATTACCGTAACTAAAGATTTAACAACATTTTCATCTTGCATTATGGACTAAAAATATTGACAAATTGCAAACAGTAATGCTGCACAAACTTAATATCAGAGCTTAATGTGCTGAGAAATATGTTAAATGGACAAACTGTCATAGCTAGTCTTTGTTTAATCATTATTAGACACCTTGCTACATGTCACAAACTTAATAATCAGCAGAATGAAAAATGAACATAGAAAATGTAAAATGATATTGATGAGGTCGACTGTTATCTTTTGAATTATACTATAATTGTTTTCATGCATGTTAGACAATAAATGATAGATACAGTACAATAACAAGCAAATCTTGAGAAACAGTCCAAGAGAAAACAGAAATACTTTTACTTGGTAAATGGGATTAAAAAAACCAAAAATAATATCAACTGCCTTACAAATAACTACTTATAAAGTTCAAAAATTAACTTGTTTTTTGTTGCAAGTGAAGAAAGAATATATTCTATCTCGGAGTTTTCTTTCAAAAATTTCTCGAACGGTTTAGGCACATTGGCATCCTATGTGACAATCTATTAAAATGTAAAAGTTCATGACAAAAAAAATTTCCACAAACAATCCTTTGGCATCTTTCTGTATGATAATTATTGCAGGAAGTTGCTAAGTTATCAATTAGAAAGAGTTCATTGAAATATGCTGCAACAACTAAATGAAAAATGCACATTAGAACGATAAATAAACATATCAAGGGCAGATGTTTTCCTAAGTAAACTCAGTCTATGCAATGGGGCAACATTGTCCATTTGCGACTCACCAGAGAGATCTTACTGGGTCAACTCACTCCACCGGTTTGGGTTGAGCCGTTGAATTCTGTGACTCGTCTCACTCGCTCCAGTACGACTCTTCCCGGGGCTTCTCGAACTCGTCCTCCTCCTCGCCGATCTCCGTTTGCACCAGCCGGAACCGCTGCACGTCCTCCACTGCAGCCCGTCGGAACAGCCCCACGTCCACTGCCCCCGCCACCAGGTGGTACCCCCTCGCCTTCAGCTCCTCCGGCGGATCGTGCGGCATCGCAAACCCCCCTAGGTATGGACCGCCGGCGCCGCCACCCTCCGCCGCGGCGTCGGCTTCCGTCCGCGTCTTCCTCACTCCCAGCACCTTCCTCTCCACATCCCTCAGCACTTTCCTCACCTTCCTGTTCCCAGGATCCCACAGGTACCCCATGCTCGCGCTGAGATCCATAGGGCCCATCTGCACCACGTCGACTCCCTCGACAGCGGCGATCGCCTCTATCTCCGCCACGGCGTCGAACGACTCCACCTGGCACATCACCAGGATCTCTTCCTCGCAGCGGGTGAGGTAGCCGTCATCGAGGCCGTAGGCGGAGGCGCGGACGACGGTGTGCGCGGAGCCGCGGATGCCACGCGGCGGGAAGCGGCAGCAAGCGACAGCGTGTGCGGCTGCGGCGGGAGTATCCACCATGGGGAACATAATGCCCTGGGGACCAAGATCGAGGGCCTTCTTGGCCCAGGTGGCGGAGGGCTCAGGAAGGCGGAGCACGGCGGGGGTGCGCGTGGCGGCTAGGGCGCGGAGGCAGGGGAGGGCATCGGAGATGCCCCCGGAGCCGTGCTCCATGTCGACGACCACGTAGTCGTAGCCGGCGAGTCCGGCGATCTCGGCGAGGGTAGGAGAGGCGCTGAGGAGAAAGAGGCCGTAGAGGGTCTCGCCAGCAGCGAGGCGGGACTTAAGGCTCCCGGAGGTAGCTTCATATTCCAGCGGCGGCGGCAAAGATTTAATGGGAGGAAGCAAGGGGTTTTTGGAGGGGATGGAAATGGCGGTGAGGGTTTGGTAGGATCGGAAGGAAATGGTCGACGGAGCGTTTTGGAGGGTTAGGGTTTTGGGGGCCAGAAGATGAGGCTTTGCTTTGAGTTTCGCTGCCGTGCCGACCGCCATCGACGACAAGGAGGCCACCATCGCCATCGCAATCGTGTATCCTTCCAATCTCCAGTATGCGAGTCTACGAGAGAGTGAGCGGGCGAGAGAGACGGTGACGGCGGAGTTTCATAAAAGAAGGCTTCTATATGCGGACGGTGACGCATATGGGTCAACGTGGAATACGAACATTGGAAATACCCTTCGGGACCCACTTATGCGTTATGGTTGTCGAACTAAAAATTAGGTAATTTAACGGGTGAGAAATGACGGGTTGGAGGAATTGCGTTATAGTTTATCCACTCTCACGGTGTTCTCCTCCCCCATCCCACGGCGAGATAACGGACCGAGGACGATGGAATCTAATCTCACCGCTTCATTCGCCGGCCTCCTCGTCGCTCCTCGGCCCAAGGAATATAATCTCCAACTTCCCTCATGATTTCCGCCTCCTGAAACCAAATCCAAAATCAAATAATCTATCCACCTCCCCTCTGCGGGGTCGATCCGGCGCCAACTCCAAGGGGACAGAGGAGAAGCTGCTGAGGAGGGCGAGAGAGGCGCTGTCCGGAAGCCGACGCCTCGAGGGTTTAGAGTCGGAAGGCGGAGGTGAGCCGTCTTTGCCCCCTTGTTCTTCGCTATGGCAGTGATCTCCTGCATGATTCTTCTTTTCGTGGTCTCTTTACACCATTAGTCGAAGAGAAGATTCTCAAGATGATGGATTGTGATATTAATAGCTGCAATTGCTTCCATCTTCATGTGTCTACTGGCTTGCGAGATTACATTTGCTGCAATTTTAGTCTCTAAGTGTAATAGTCCACTAAAATGTGCTCTCAATGGTGAATTTGGTAGTGTTATGGTGTGTGAGATTTCAATGCTGTTGCTGTCTCACAATCCTACTGCCTGCGTTTTTTCCTCTAGTTTTCTTTTCTTTTGTGTTCTAAATTGTTCACTTCATATGATGCTATGCAAATCAACAGATGAGAATGGGTGTGTAGTGAATGTATTGATCAATCTGAACCTCATTGCTCAAACCATATGATTTACATTGTTTTCCTACTTGTGCTTAAAAAATTGGAACTCTTTAACTTGTGATATATAAGTCACCAGGACAAAAGGGCAGCCAATTTGCTAAGCCTTGTCTGGGCACTTCCAATAGCTCACTCTTTTGGAACCAAAGATGTCAGACCATTTCATGTTTTTCGCATCCTCGAGAACCAGGAAAATATTTTCCAGGACTATGACCTTGTTGGTAATTGGCCGTAAATTTACAATTATACTTAACAAAGGAAAACTCTTAGTTCTTTTGAATCCCTCATGCACTGGACATTTATGAATAGTACATTTATGTAATTGGTAGCAGGTAGCACTGCTCGGTTATATTGAAGACTATACTTACCAATTACTATAATACTTCTTTATAAAGATAATATGGTGATGAAACCTGACAAATCATTTGAGTAACCTGATGAAATACAGTCAGGAATTTTGGCATCAAGCCTTAGCATAGTATAGTTTAGGAACATAAAGTTTTGTTACTATTCTCTTTCATAATTTGAAGATTTACTTACAGGATGTTGTTCTGAGTCTGTATATACAAATTTAAACAAGATGAGCAAGACCATCTAAGGATGGACTATGAAAGCAAGGTTGATGCACAAAGGAGGAAAACCATGGTATGGTAGCTGAGATTGTTTGTAATCTGTGGCTAGGTGGCCCTTAGCTTTCTCCCATATTGAACATTGAAGACTGCGGACTTGTGCCAAATACCACGAAATAATGACTTCATGCAAGGACTCAGCTACTAGCCCAAGTCCTTAATTGCCCCAAGATTAGGACCTAGGGATGGTTGCTTATGTTTTTTAAGACCTATACTGCTCATGACCTGCTTGTGCTCTTACCTGTCACCGCCACTGGCACTTGGCATAGAGTGACAGGATCATAGAGAAACGGAGCACTTCCAAAAGGTGTGCAAACCTCAGTCTAGTACTTGCCTTCAACCTCTAACCTATGCATCTTTCGTCAGCCACACTTTAATTGGCTGCCTTCTGCCACTAATGGCATAATCGCCTTGGTTATGAATAGGAGAGACCTGTCGCTGGCCTAGGTACATAGCCACTAATACTTAAGCATGAAATTGATAATGTTGTTATGGTTAGCTCCCTTATATTTTTCACTGCGCTCCATTCAGGCATCAAAGGGTCTTTGCTGAAGTGGAATATTATGAAATCTTAGGTGTTCTACCTTGTCTTGCAGGGGCACTTGCCCTAACTCCACCCTGCAACCAGCATTCCAACCAGCTGAATCCCGGAAAGGAAGACCAACTGCCACATGGTTGGCTTCGCAATTACATTATATTCTAGTACCATTCAGTAGAGAGATTGGAGTCTGCCAAGTCTGTTCTAGTTTCATCTGTTGCTGGCTCGCATTCTGGTGTCCCTATTTCTATATATCAAGCTACTACCTTTCTCAACTGATTCTTCCATTGGTGATCAGTTCTATTGATTGTGCTTTTTTGGGGGCAATCTTCCATTATACAGTAAGATGAGACCTGGATAATCTTCAACTTAAAAAAGAGACGTGTACAGCCTTTGGTTTTATTTAGGGAGTGAATGAATCTCTCGGTGTATTCCGCAACTTACAGACTTTCAAATCGCTCATATTGTTTTTGTTACCTTAAAATCAATAGTGCATACTAAAAATCAAAGTGAAATTGCAGGTCTTGCAGCAGCAGTGACAGCGAAGCCCTTGGAATTAGGCACTGAAAGCTCTATCTCATCTTCAATTGATGGAGCAGTTTGTGCATCAGAGAATTTCTTCATGTTCCTTGCTGCTGCTATTGCCTTTGACCTCTGCTTTAAGATGATGGTTTATAAGTCCTTTTCCTACTAGTGAATAGACCAAGTAAGCCAATTGTTATTGGTAATAGACCTTTCCAAGTGCTTCAGATATTATCAGTGTAACCTCTTTAATATAGAGATATATCAAAGAGGATTTCCCCCTTGCATGTGGTTTGTCCCAGAAGATATGCCAACAAGCCAGTGGTGGAGCTAATACAGTGCCCTAAAGCACTGGTTCTTTCTTATGCTTGCCCACATGTAATGAAGACATTTCATCAGTTGCAAACTGTTTGGCAACTAGAAATGTTCCTTCTGCCATGATCTCTAACTCCATGTGTTGTCAATGACTTTGATGTGTATCTCAAGCCACACTGTAAAATTTGAACCATTGTAATTTGTTCTTAAGATCAGTTGTACTTGCTCTCTCTCTCTCTGTGTTGTCAATGACTTTGATGTGTATCTCAAGCCACACTGTAAAATTTGAACCATTGTAATTTGTTCTTAAGATCAGTTGTACTTGCTCTCTCTCTCTCTCTCTCTCTCTCTCTCTCTCTCTCTCTCTCTCTCTCTCTGTTTCTGTGCTGACTTGTTTGATGCTATGTGGTTGGCTTTCTTACCAATGTTGATGTCAGTGCAAGATCAATCTTTTAATCCACTCAAGATCTCTTTTTCTCCATGGCTAACCTAATGCTGTGCTACATTCACTGATCAAGCATTTTCTCTTTCTTGTTTCATCATTTGGTATGGGTTTGTTTTTCTCAAACTAAAAAACCCAAATTAGGAGAAGAAAAGAGCTATTTTTCTCAAACTGGACGCATTGATTGGACAAATCAACTCTTGTACCAAACTCATACTGAAGTGATCCCACCTCCATCACCAGTGAGGAGGGGGCTTTTCTTCCAGGTGTTTTATCTGAGAGATATTAGCTCAATTATGTGAGAACACAGTACTGTGGGGCTTCAACTAAGACACATGATAGCCTATAAAGTGAGCAGTGGGCGCCATGGCACTGCACCTTTGCCTGTGGATCCCATTACCCATACCTTCAATAGATAGAGCTTGCTTAGTGAGCAGGAAGGCACCTCTTATGGGCTTCGACAGGTGTGCCGCACCTAAACTACCATACTCGCGACTCGAATCGACATACACTGCTTTACTCACGTTCAAAGAGATGACTCAAATCTTGATCGCTCTTATTATTGGAGAACAGAGAGGCCCAGAATTAGCCTTCAGGCATTGCTACTTGTTCATCCTCTTCTTCTTGAGCAGGACCACCTCCGCTTTGGCTTCCACTGGTGACACAGTCCCCCTCACTTATTTAATTCCAACCCAAATCCAATCTTGCAGTAGTCTTCAGCTCCGCAAAGCAATGGAGGTGAGTGCTGTTTGTTTCATGGCCGTCGACGCCAGCGTGCATGTTCTTCATAGACCTCGTTAACCGGACACATTTGCAGATCTTGAACTGGATGCACCGCAAGCTGCAACCCAGCAGCAACTACTCTCAGGTTTCCCAAAAGAAAGGTCCATCTTTGTGCTTCTGATCACTGTACACTCCACTGGTTATGTTCCCCTGCACACTTGACGAGCTTTGGCATGATGCACTAGTAGCTCTCTTGTTCTTGATCTCCAGATGCCTTGTGGGAAGACGCCGAAGAGACGAGAGACACGATGGTGGAGAGCGACACCGACGCGCTGCTTCTCCATGACATGCACAATGGCATTCTCGCCATTGGCACCTTCAGCCACCACCACCCTCTCGTATCTCGGTCCCACTCCGATCCAGAAGAGTTCCGTCGGGAGGATAGAAAAGAAGCCCAAGGAGCGGAGGGAGCTAAGCTGTTTGCGGTGGCGAGGGAACCGTCGTTCAAGATCAAGTTGCCGGTGGAAGATGAGAAGACGAGAACAATGGAGGTGGTGCAGGTGCATGAGGTGTTGCAGGTATCCGAGAAGAAGATCCTTGAGCTGCCATTGCTGAAGGAGGACCAGGTCAAGAGAGAGAGGCGAAGAAGGACGACGCTGGCAGATCTGCTTGCGGGCAACGCACTTGAAGAGAACGGAGCCAACCTTGGGGGGCAAGCAGCAGGCAATCCATGTCGACAAGAACATGCAGCGCAAGAACAGTGAAGGAGAGAAGCCACCTGCAGACAACAGAAAGCTACAAACAGTACAAGTTTCCACTTACTATTGCTTGTAGTGAACACTTTGTTGAGGTGAGTGGGAATGTGTTTTGTTTCTTTTGGTCTTCCAGTTTGGTGTGTGTGTGGCTATCTTGGAACCCTAATAATAAAAATAAAGCTGGTGTAAGATTCCTTGATTGGCCATAAAAGATCATCAGATCTATTTGTTCTGCATCTTATGTTGATGGTCTAGAAATTGTCATGCTGAAGTAGACATTTCCAAGTCTTGGTCAAACTGGCTTTCTTTGGGACAAGGGTGGTGGTGGAAGAGACACAAGTCTGGGTCTAATAGGATTAGGTCAGGCCTAAGAATGGTGGATCATATCAACTAATTATGATCTGATATGACTGTACATGAGAGATTACTTTTTGATTGACATTAATCATTTAGTTAGTATTCAATGGAGATACCTTTTTTTTTTTATGATAGAGATAAAAGATACTGATAACTAAAAATTTTGACATCTAAAGACCACTCAAAGTGATAATTCTATGATAAGCTCAAATCCTACCTTCATTACTTACTCTTGGAAGGGATAGTATCAAGCTGGCATCAATTCTTTTTGGTCATCTTCATATCTGATGATAAGCCCATCTCTCATGTACTTGATGGACTTCACCTGATACATTGATGTCACAAGCTCAACCAACAGTTGGGCTCAATAGACTCACTCCATTGTATCTGAATTTAACTCATTGATCTAATTAATATATGCTTGATTAAGTTAGTTGAATGTCAACGCTATGATTGGTTTGTTTATATCACCTAAATGATTGGATAGAGAATAATAATAACATATCTCGATTAGCTTGTCTTATGTTCGAGTCTATGTACACTAACATCTAACATCAATCCTTTTCTACACTACTATTGAAGAATAAAAAGTATATTATATATATATTTATTAATTATTTTATAATTGTATGGATATGTGAAATACCGGTTTATTGATGTGGCATGTCGCCCTTGTTACCGATCGAAAGGCGGCGTGATATATCCGATAAGCATTGATTGAACTCAACAAACATGTCGAGTTTTGATTCATCGAAAATAATAATAATCATAGGATGTTTGGATTCACTTATACTATTCTTTTTCTCTTAGTCAACCATACATGCCACATGGTATGTGGATCCAAGCTCAGTGAGTTCAATTCACCTGCGATCCACATCTGCAGCATAAAACACTGAATTGTGATCCCACTTGTCGTTGTATGTTGCATAAAGCACACAGTTCATGATGTTTATACGGTCATGTTTTATGTTCTTATTCCAGTTTGCATTCACTAAGCACACCTCCTTTGGCTCACATCAAGTGGAATTAATGAGCTGTAAGTCATCGTGCATGCAACAGTGCAGATGCTGATGATTCGGAGCTCAGCTCATTCGGCTTCTTCTTCGGTCCACGAAGGATCAGCTTAAAGCTCACACTTGCTGCACCAGTATTATTGTGCAAGTGGCTTACTCTTGCAGCACTTGACGAAGAAGGAAGCATCAATGGAGTAACCTCCGGATAATGATGATGATAGGGTGTGACAGAGGAATCTAAGAGCCCATTCAAAGGAACACGAAGCATCCAGACAACCATTCAAAGATAACAAAGTTTACTGCTGACAGTGTAAGGCTCGACTTGATCCCGGCAGAAGGTCGCTGTCAGAGTCTGTGTTCTCCCACCGCAAATCCTTTTCCGGCCATGGCTGGGGATTTGACACACCGTTGCTGTCTGTTCTTTGGAGCTGTGTACCGTTTGTCTTGGGAGACCGAGGTGTGTCAGTTCACGGTGTTGGTCATGGATCACGGCATCTCCGGCAGACCACTGATGCTCTCTGACAATGGCTTGCAGTGGAGAATTAAGACCGTGACATGGGATTCTTTGCTTACCCATGCACCACAAGCATTGGAATCAACCCGAATGCCTGTTCATTGTGCTGAGCTGCAGCTGCTTCCGATCATTCTCTTCCCTGTCATGGGTTCCTCACCTTGGTTTCAGAGTTAATGTCAATGATTGCTATGTGCACCACAATCACAGTGTAACCTACAAGCGAAAAACACGGAATATTTCCTTCCGAACAAAACACGTTTTGAGGGCACCGGAAGTGCACGGAGGGCGGCGCACGGTTCTTATCACTACGAATGGCATCGTTTGCTGGTGTTCACCTTTCTCAGACTGCTCCCTCCACTGTTCGACTGATTCCACTGTTCGACTGATACCGTAATGATACTATTAAGTGACACATAGCCTTCATCGGTGAGACCAACCTGACTCAGACTTCATTGCATTTTTTACGTTACATATAATTTTCATTTTCATATACAGTACGGATTCAAAGCCTACACAAACCTCAAGAAAGAAACAGAGGAAACAGAAGCGAGAGGGGGGAGAGAGAACAAACGGCATACAACAAGGGAAAGCCACTCTTTCTAAAGCCACCGTATTCGCTCTACTGTGTACATTCCAAGTGACCACTACCTTCACTCATCAAGCCAGCCCCCGGCGACGCCGACGGAGCCTCACGGTCAGCGGCGCCGCCATCTCGCAGGAGAGTCGCAGCACCTCGGAGAGGTCGACGTCGCCGCCCTCCGCCGCGTCGTCGGACGGAGCCCTCCACTCGAACTCGTGCGCCAGCGCCGCCACCCACAGCTCGACCGTCGCCATGGCCAGCCCCTTCCCGGGGCAGCTCCGCCGCCCGGACCCGAACGGCGCCAGCCGCAGGTCGGAGCCCATGACCGGGAACTCGGCGGCGTGCCCACCCGGTCCGATGAACCGGTCCGGATCGAACCGGAGCGGGTCGGGCCACACCGCCGGGTCGCGGGCGATGGCCCACATGTTCACCATCGCCGTGGTCCCCGCCGGCACGGAGTGGCCCCCGCTCACGATCGCATCCGACGTGGCCAGGCGAGCCCACGATAGAAGCGGGCCCGGCGGGTGCATCCTCAGCGTCTCTTTGATCACCGCCTGCAGGTACGGCAGCGCTGGGATCGCCTCGGGTCCCGTCACCGCCCCGTTCCTGCCCACCACCGCGTCCAACTCCGCTTGCAGTCTCGCCTGCACTTCCCCGTGCATCACCAGTCTCGCCAACACCCACTCTATCAGCACCGCCACGGTGTCCGTACCGCGAAATATCATCTCCTATGTAAATATAACAACCGAATCATCACTTCTTCACTATTATTATTATTATTATTATTATTATGTGATTTAATAATATAAAAAAAAGTTTACCCAGAGGACAGCGACCATGTCGGCGTCG